TTTTCTCAATTTTTCACATCATGGATCTGGGGAATAGGGTGCAACACATTAGAAATCAAAGTTTTACAATAAATCGTATGGAAAAATCATTAAAAAAAATCTCAAGCACTGCCAAGCCAAAAAGTTTGAAACTTACGAGGAAGCATGCTGTGGTAGTTAAAATTGTTAAAATACAATTATTCAAATAATGACCCTGGAATAGGGTGGGGTCGTTGTAAGGAATCAAAGATTTACAATGAATTATGCAAGAAAAAAATATTCTTATTCTCAAGTACTATTGGGATAGAAAGGACGAAATGTATGTTGGAGCAAACTATAGCAAATTGTTATGCTTCCTGACAGTTTGTTCCTATATAACCCATACCCTACTATTCTCGCATAGTGGTCTACGGATTTATAAAGCGTAAGCATACTATGCCGAAATAGTACATGGCCTTATTTACTGAATAAAATTCTTCAGTGCACAGGCCGGGAATAGAACTCACGACCATGAGATTTCCAGTCCGATGCCTTGTCGATTACGCAACTGCTGAGACTATCACTAATTGGGTGAATTCTATTAAATATATAAACTTAATTTATACAATTGACACAAGAAGGAGAAAATAGACAAATATTATTTGAAAAAAGTTATATTATTCGAAGGAATCTTAGATAAATATGTACAACAAAGTTTCAAACTAATTACACACAGATCGTTAAATGAACTGATACCATGGGGTCATTAAAACGCTTTTTTATATAACGCTTGATTGAAGGACGTAAAAGAAAATTATCAATGAAAATCGACGTCTGCAAACAAATCAGTCTTACTAACAAATGAGTAACTTTGGGACAGAAAATCCTGACTTATTTAGAGAAAATACTAGTAACCAAAATAACTAAGCAAGCAGCCTTTTTTAGCATGAAGATTTTGAATGAGTTCTTACAAGTACGCTGTATTAGCACCGATATTTTTAGGGAAACGTCAAATGGATTGCCGCATAAATAATTACAACAGTCAGCATAATAATAACAATAGTGTTGCATTATGCATGTACTATGCCTGAATATCGGGCAGGGTTTGAAACATAGTGTACTCGCCTCCTGCTCGTGCACCATGTGTCAAACCCTGCTTACTTTTTAAGCATAGTACATGCATAATGCGACACTATTATATAAATATATTTTTGTCAAATCCCTTAGCTCTCATTTATTTTGGCTCTGTTTGATTTTCATAAATCACTCAAACACAAATTAGAATTGAAAATGGTCATTTATTAAATAAATGACGTAATATTGGAACAAAACACTAACTACAAAAATTTGAAAATAAAATAACCCGGATGTATATTAAAAAACATATACTATTACATCCGGGTCAACAACATCTCTGCCTTGTAAAAATCATTATGCCAACATGAACAAAGAGTATTACATAATATATTCATCGTTATGTCCTTGAAAATCAAAGGTGGGGGACCAAAAATTGCCCCAACACACATTATGACAAATCAAAAATAATAACACAGAAAAATATAAAATGATTGACTAGAATAAATTTTCATAATAAACAAATATTACAACTGATGCCTAAACGACATTATGAATACGAGCTGTAATTAAAACAAAAATAAATGAAAAATACTAGTTTACACATTGCATTAGGGAGGGTGGTGGGCTGTAAAAAACTTTCCAGCTACCAACAGCGTGACACTTGATCTTTTGTTTTTGTTTGCAATGCCCCCTAGCGGTGAGCAAGATTAGATAACTCTTTCCAATTAATCTTAAGTAGGAGATGACTTCTTTTAACAATGATTGCCAAAAAACACATTTATGTTCATAAATGTTATTTTTTGTCAAATCCCTTAGCTCTCATTTATTTTAGCTCTGTTTGATTTTCATAAATCACTCAAACACAAATTAGAATTGAAAATGGTCATTTATTAATTAAATGACGTAATATTGGAACAAAACACTAACTACAAAAATTTGAAATAAAATAACCCGGATGTATATTAAAAAACATATATTATTACATCCGGGTAACAACATCTCTGCCTTGTAAAAATCATTATGCCAACATGAACAAAGAGTATTACATAATATATTCATCGTTATGTCCTTGAAAATCAAAGGTGGGGACCAAAAATTGCCACAGTATTACTTGAAAGGCGTATTGAAAAGTAATACCCCCCACCCCAAAATGAATGAGAAACACAACTGTATAGCATAATTAACTTACATATGTCAATGGCAAGAGATTGAAATGAACTTAACTACATGACTAGAATTTACCATGCAATTATAACTATATAACAAAACAACACGTAAGAAAAACTTTTTTCTTCAAAAATACATAATTTCATAAAGATACATTAACATTCCATTCCAACAGAGGTCCGAAGCCCCAGTGCCAAAAATACTGCAGTAATTATTTTCAAACTAACATTACCGTATATGATACAAAAAACTTAGTGTCCATACTCTACATGTAACTTTAGAGGACAGAGGCCCCTGACCCCATGTCCTGCTACAAATTCAATAAAGGAATTCGAATGTATTTCCTATACGCATAAGATTCCCACGTCCTAAAAGTTGAATTTGGTCATCGGAAACTCCTTTTGATTTCGCCCATGTTGTTGCACCAATTCTGAAAGAATGTCCTTTGTAACTTTTTGTGTGTCATAGTTCAAAAAGGTTAAAGAGATTTTCAATTGTTGATTGAAATATTGCCTAGATATTGGGGATTTGTCTTGGAACATAAACAGTGGACCTGCATTCTGTCCTCTCAATTTTATATAGTCCCATATAGCTAAAACTGGGCATAACTGCTTGTTTTCCTTGTTTGCTGATAATTGTAAAGTAACAGGTGGTTTTCCAATATGATGCTTGAAGTTGACCATGGTTACACACAAACTTTGGGGGACCCATCATGTTGTTTCCCAAATGATACTGCTGATAGTGGTAGTGGATCTCCCAGAGAAGAGGATGTTATTTCACCTATCCTTAGGAAAGCATGAAAAGCTAAAAGGAACATAGCCTTGAATAAGTGCATTTGATAATAAGATTGGGTGCAATTCGGCAAAGAGTTCACAATTTGTTGAAGCATCAATGGAGTAATTGGAAGTCTGCTATCTGGCTTTGCTTTAAGCTTTTGAAAGCCTTGGATGGCTCGTTTCACCTTAAAATGTTGTGTTGGGTCTTCATTACCTTCCATTTTGCTGAAATGTGTGAGTGCTGACAGGTAGCCTAAAACTGTTTGTGGAGCCAAACTCTTTTGAAAACAATGAGATATGAACAAGAATAATTGGTTTGCGGAAATTGGGAATAACTGGGAATCAGGAAAGTACTTTTGTTGAAAAGTTGTGTACACTTCTCTGGCTCTTCTATAGGATGCTCTTGTTCCCACTGTTAATGCGTTTTCAATCAAATATGTTGACACCGAATTTAGAGCTTGAACATCTCTTCTGGCACAGATACTGGGTTCTGATTCATTGTTGGAGCAAGTTTCCGGAATTCTTGTATCTGTAAACGAGACAATTTATCACTAAGTATATTGTTCAACCTTTTACATGTTGAGATTGAAAATAAATGTTAAATTTCAGACACTGAACTATAAGACGACGTAATAGTTTCATAAGTCATACATCTTTAGCTGTTTGTTTATTGATCACTTGCACTACTGCCATATTGTCCGAAAAGAAACAGACTTTCTTGTTTGCAAACTCTTGAGCCCATACTTGAACTGCGACCACAATTGGAAAGAGTTCTTTGATAGAAATGTGATACTTGGACCATGATGAAGGCCATTCACCATAAAACCATTTCACTCCAAAATATCCACCAAATCCAAGTCCACTTGCATCTGTGAAAAATAGTTGCAATTTGTCTGATGTGTACCATACATCTTCTAAGAACAGTGATTTCCCATTGAAGTGGTTAAGGAATATTGACCACGCTTCAAGGTCGGCTTTTGTTTCTTTGCCTAATCTGCGCCTATGATGTGGTTTCTGCAAGCCTTTTGTGAGGTCTATCAATCGACGCAAAATGTTCTACCTGGTGGCACAACTGAACATGCAAAATTCAAGAGCCCAATTAAAGACTGTAGTTCCTGGAGTGTAATTTTCTTTCGGCTCTTATAAACATCAATTTGGGAATGCATTCGGAGCAATTTTTCTTGAGGCAAACGGATTTCCATGGCTACTGTGTCTAATTCAAGACCTAAGAAAGTTAAAACTGTTGTTGGAAATACAGTTTTTGATTCTTTTATTGGTACCCCTATAACATTCATAAATTTCAAAAATAATTTTAGTTGGCCATTACAGGATTCCATACATGGTGGACCAACCAACAGGAAATCATCCAACAAATGGACACATCCTTCAATTTTTAATTTTTCGTTCACCACCCAATGAATTGCTGTAGAAAATTTTTCAAATAGATTACAGGCAAAGCTTAAACCCATAGGTAATGTTTTATCATAGTAGAAGTAATCACCAATGGCAAATCCAAAAAGTTCATGATCAGAAGGGTGAATTGGAATGTTTTTGTAACCGTTTTCAATGTCAGTTTTTGCTAACAGAGCTCCTTTCCCAAAATGCTGAATAAGTTTAATGGCGTCATCTACTGTTTGATAGGAAACTGCCGAATCTTCTTTACCAATGCCATCATTTATTGAAGAGCCGTCCGGATAAGAAAGGTGATGTATTATTCTATATTCACCTGGTGTTTGTTTAGGAACTAATCCTAGGGGAGAAACTTGTAAATTTTTGAATGGCAATTTATCTAATGTAAATGGGCCTGCTGCTCGTCCCTTTTTAACTTCTATGTCAATTTTTTGCTGCAGAATGTCTATATTTTCCTTCGCAGATTTGAGATTTTCACTAAATCTAAATTTTCTGTCTCCATGATAAGGAATTCTGAAACCATTTGTGAAACCATCTATGAGGTATTGTCTTTTTTCCTGATTAAAATTTTGGAGCCAAACTGCCAATGTCTTTACACGAATAGGAGTCACAACATTACTTCTTGAATGGAGTTTGGGTATTTGCTGGCTTTGTGTTTGAGTGATTAGGTTTCTTGTTGTTGTCTGGAAGTCGGCAGTCTTTTTTGTTGTGGTCTCCAAAACATTTACTGCATATGTGTGCATACTCGCAGTTCGATCTTGCACACTGTCCAGCATTGTTGTTGAAGCTAAAACATGGCTTTTTGTTGTTTTTGACACGAAATGGCTGCTGCTGGTTTTGTTTTGGTCGACTGGTTTTTCCCTCTGTTTGAAACAATTTTGATTTTAGACCAATCTGCAGAGCTTCAGAATGAAGCTCAGAGTTTATCTTCTCCCACGGCATCTGGTCTAGATTCTCTGCCCTCCATTTTCTGAATTGCTCGTCATAGTGGAATGCAGCTCTCTCCCCGACATCAGAACTTAGCTTCTGGACTGTGGCCATGTACTTCATGAGGTTTGGTGCCTGTTCGGGGAACTTCTCACAGTAAATTGCCACAAAAACGTGGAAGGCTCCTGTCCACTGTTGTAAGGATTTGAAGAAGTATTTGTGTTCCTTTTGAAGAAATGTGACGCTATTGTCACTTGCCTGCACCGCCTCCAACTTGGCATATGGTTGTTTGAACACCAGACATCCTAACTGGATGAACTCCTCAGCCCATATCTTTGCCTTAATTTTTGTATCGATCCCTTGACCCAAAGGACGACCAATGTGAAGTGGCCCTGTACCCTTATTTTTATTACCTTCAGTAGTCGATGATTGCAGTGTTTCTTGTGATGGTGCAGGTGATGTCGCAGATGACGCTACAGATGATGTCGCAGCTGATGTCACAGGCAATGTTGCATATGATGTGGATGACATGGAAATTCCCTCCAAATTGCTGCCCGTATTAGACTGGTTAGACTGAGATGAGGTATCTTTATTTGCAGTTACCCTCAGAGTTTCTTTCACAGTTGCCACAACAGTCTCTGTGATGGCTGGAAGGGCCTCTGCCAGAACTTCCTTCATTGGGTTTTTAATTTTGTCTTTCTCTTCCTCCTCATTTAATCGTCGTCTTTTCTTTGGTTGGGACATGTTTGGATCTTCCAGTACAAAAAACCAGCTTTCACCTGGGTATGATTACAAATAACTATCCTTCTCTCCTTCAGCTGAAATTAATAATATTATTAATCATGAATCATTATCTACAATTGCTAAGTGTGACTGTAAAATTCTTAATTTTGACTAACGCCAACTTTCATAGTTAACACTATGAATTTGTATGTATGATTAACTACTGTAGCTAACGCTACCAGGTATGGCTAACGCCTCAATCTCATAGCTAATGCTAGATAGTTCAGCCATTGAAACATTATTTGTACAGCTAATGCTGTGACCCAAATTGATGAACATCAATCACTTACACAATTCTGTGATCTCATAGCTAGCACTATGACCTTGTGTATAATCAACTTTGTAGCTAACGCTACCACAACTAATATGGCTATCGCCTTAATATCATAGCTAACGCTACCACAGTTTAAGCACTCTAAGCATTATGTGTATTTGTACCGTACAGCTAGCGCTGTGGTGCAAATTGTTGAAAATCAATCACTTACATAGTTCTGTGAATATAACCCTGGCTACCGCCTTGGTTATCCGTCTATATATCTCAAACTGAAAAGATAATAAATATATGTAAATAAACATTCTCTTCTATCACAATATGCATTTCAACTTTTTGAATGATTAAATCATCTTATCATACAATAACATATACATTTTTAATTATTCATTTATTGCATTACAATATAAATTCCTATATAAGTCTTTACATGTCATCATAATTCATTTGGCAGTAAAATCATGACCAACTGTCAATACAATTATTACTTCTTGGTCATAAGCAATTTTTCTGTTGACTGTTTAATAGACATTTATACAATATTTATTGATAAATTGACATGCACATAAAATTGTTTCTGTAGTATTTTGGCAGACGATATTGTTTGTTTACTTGCACCCCATCATGAAAGAGATTTCGCACACTGTTTATAAGTCCACACAATTTCCCCTCGAGATGTCTTGAAGTGAATTGTTCTTGTAACATTTTTGTTTGCATGAGGGACTAGGTCATTGAATGTGAAATTGAGAGGTGTCTTGTGTTGTCACCAAAAGAAATTTGCATACCATTAGTTTTACTGCATATCTACATACAGATAGTTTAACACTTTCCAGCTACCAACAGCGTGACACTTGATCTTTTGTTTTTGTTTGCAATGCCCCCTAGCGGTGAGCAAGATTAGATAACTCTTTCCAATTAATCTTAAGTAGGAGATAACTCTCTTTTAACAATGATTGCCAAAAACACATTTATGTTCATAAATGTTATTATTCTAAATCGTTAAAATCATGATCATTGAGGTAGGGTGGGGCCATAATAGAGAATCACAGATTTACATTGAAATATACATGGATAATCTTTTAAGATCCTCTTTTCACAGTATAGAATTATGGGATATTTTTTAATTGACACATATAGGAAAGTTATCACCCAAACAACCATCCCCATGCCTCGCAGTCGAACCCGCGAAGTAAGGATCAACTCCTTATATTTTTTGTGCATACATTAACCATTGCACCACCTGCGTAACTCGCAGATAATTGAAAGACGATGAATCGCAAATTAAATTGTTCAAATAAATATTTAGACGAGTCATAAAAATGAGTGAAGTAACACTTGATGATGTCATGATTATTTATGTTTACTAGCGATTATCAGTCGCGGATCCAGGAATTAAACTTAGAGAGGCGCCAAACGTAGGGAAGGGGTCTGGGAAGCTCCTGAGTTTTATAGATTCTCTTGGATAAAAATGAAGTCTACCAAGTAGACATAAATCACATTTTCTAGACGAAATTATGATTTAAGCTAACTTTGACAATTTTAAGTGTGTGTGTGTGTGGGGGAGGGGGGGGGGGGGCGGTAGCGCCTCCGTAGATCCACCACTGATTATCATAATAGATTATTAATTTTGATGAGATTATACATGTTCTTATTAAGAGCCATTCTCTGTAATGATTTGAAATTTTATATAGGAGCTGTGGCACGCATAGTCTCAGAATTTCTCCAAACTCTCTATGATAAAAGGCATTGATACCCTGAACTGAAATCAGGCAAAAATTGGTTGCTATGTTTTATAGTTACCATGGCAACATGTCTTAAAGTTCGAAAAATGGCATTTTTTAACATGTTTAGAGCCCCATAGTTAACATTTGCGGCAAAGCAAACAATTGTTAATGACTCTTTCCAAAAGTTGAAGGTAAGATGTCTCAAATGCATGATAAACATGTTTGGTAAATCAACTATTACATACGTTACTTATGGTAACAAAGTATTCAAAAGTAAAAAAAAATATTCATTGAATTTTATGAAATCATACTCGTAAAAATGAAAAGCAATTATAGGATGAAATGTTACCAAATAATAGAAAAAAGAGCCTTGAAACACATACCAAGAAAAAATATTATATTTCATTTTGGTTGGCAATGGTTGCCAAGGTTTTTATGCCCCAGAGAGCCTTCAAAGTAATACTATGTATGTTTAAATATGATCCTATCTTTTAAAAAAGGCATATTTCCTCATAACTAATGATCAATTTTATAAGATGTTGGTGTGCTCCAAATTTTCCCATTTCAAAAAATTCAGATTAGATTCTTTAAATAGAGCGTTGCTATGGAAATAAGCAGAAAATATATGCTTAAAAACCTGAAAAATATTTTGTTTCCTTGGATACGTACCCTTAAATGTAGATTCCCAAAACTTTTATGATTGATATTTATTAACAGCTAACTTGACTTTTAATTTTGACTATCATCCAATCTCTAAGTGGATGCAAGAAGTTGGCACACAGGGTTTATATTGATATAAAGTTCAAAAAATCGAACATTTTCCCTTCTTGGTAACCATAGCAACAGTGTTGTTTTATTAATCATTTTTTATCAATATATGATATTTAACTTCAGTTCTAACAAATAAGACTATTCCAGCTGAGCTCTTTAATTTGTTTTTTGATTAAATGGCAATTTAATTCTTAATGCAGCGGAAAAAAATTTACTTTTAAGCACTGGTAATTTGTTTCCATGGTAACACTACAAAGTAGCAATTATACCCAATTTTTCTTATGGTTTTGGTGTTGCAAGGTCCTAAGGATGCATATTTACCAGTCTTGAATTTTCATGTTTTTCCTCAAGACAGTTGCATTAACCCAATCTTAGTTACTGGTTTTGCATGGTTACACTGTGTTACCATGGCAACCATAAAAGTTATTTATAGAATAATATTGCTTATACTTATATACTTAAGGTCAAACATTTTCATTGTTTTTCTTAAGTCAATGATTGAGTTTTAGCATGCAACACCTACTATTAGTGAATATGGAGTGTTTTTCAGCATATTTCAGCATTATAAATGTAATCCAAATGTACCCTTGGTTACCACTTACTTAGAGATAAATTCTAAACAGTTTCCTCACAGTATAAGTGACATCAAAGTGTCATGTTTTTGTTAGAATGGTTTGTTTGCTTTTTCTAGTTTTTATAAAGCCACAGTCATGATTTAAAGTGGCTGAAAATCTCGATTTTTCAAACTTTTCCGGCTGTTGCCATAGCAACCGAGACACTTAGCAACGAAATTTTGTTTGATATTTGTTTCTGGTGTCAAGTACTAAGCATGGGTGAAGTTTCATCAAAATCGGTGACCATGCGTGGCAACGAAGTTTAAGTGGTTACAGAGAATGGCAATTAATTTCTGAGAAACCTGTTTGACATATGTAATAACGCAAACCAATACCTAAAGGTATACGATCAAAAACTTATCCAGAGAATTTGTCCTCGTTGAAGAAAAAAGAAGAGAGTGCGCAGACCCAGGAGGAGGAGGGGGGGGGGGGCAAAATATACTAATCATTTTCTTGATGAAACATTATATTTATTTAATGGTCGCCCACGTGGGGCATTGCTTAGAGCGTTTGCTCTAGAGTCGCCAAGTAATAAGTCAATCCTTATGTCGTGGGTTCGAATCCAACTGCGGGACGTGGAGACCGGTCCTTCGGATGAGATCGTATAAACCGAGGCCCCGTGTCGCAGTATGTGCTGGTACGAAAAAGATCCCTCACTGCTCAAAGGCCCTGAGTGCCCAGCATAGGAAAACATTTGTAGCCCTCCACCAGCAAGTGGTGGCGTCTCCATATGAGTGAAAAATTCTCGAGAGGGACGTTAAACAATAAACAATCCATCAATCAATTTATTTATTTCATGTATTTAAGAAATGTTTGAGCATTATGTCAGAATTGTTTTTTTTTTTTTTTTTTTTTTTTTTGTATCTGACTGATATTTTTTTTTGTAGAATTGCTATATATCTTTGTTTCGTATAGATCTTTAATAAGGTATATTTTTCAAAGATTTGCTTCTAGATTGTGATAGCAAATTCCTATTTTGCAGACTTCGCTAGAGAAAGCTACACTACTCTAAGAACCACCGTCCAAAAAGCAATCTATATGACCTGAACACTGGAATTCTGATCATTTGACTGTTATGAATGCACAATTCGTGAGATCCCGATGAGGCGTAATGCATTCCATTTTTGCATAAGCAACTCTCAATTACCTTCTTTTTGAGATTTTCCAGCTAGAGCAATGGGAATCATTTAGTCATTTCAGGAAGCTATAGGCATTGCTTACGGAAAATGATCGGGAATTTTTTTTTTTTATCGGAATATTGTTGCATTACCTATGATAAACAGCAACAAATCCTTGAAACTCGATAATAATGCCAATTCTTTTACTAAACATGCATTTTTTTAATTCAGTTAAGCATCCTCGAACTTCAATTATGGTGATGGTATGAAAATCGTTCAATCGTTAAATTACCAAGATTTTCAAAATTAAAATTTTCATACTTTTTTGATATAAAATTCTTTACCATACGAAGGGTGTTCAAAAAGTTCGCGAACACTCTTCATAGTTACAAAACAACGATATCTAGATCAGAGAGATATTTGGAACACCTAAACTCATGTTCTTGTTCTATAAATCGCATATGAAAAGTAATGAATTTCCCCTTCTTTGTGATGTCACAATGTGAAAACGACGTCAACATGTAGGAGCCTTATGACGAAATTAACATGTTGTTTTTTTCAGTCTTACTCAATCAATGAACGGCTGTAAACTTTAGTGTATAACATTTCTTTGAAGTATATTATAATAATTTGTATAAAGTTTATATAGATATTATTCTTTCTAGACATTTAACAAAAATAACTAGAAAGTCTGTTATTGCTGGCAATTTAGCGTTTGTCGCCCCGAGCTGGACAATACTTTCATTTTTTTCATCACTAAATGAAAACTCATTAGCTAAGCTTAGTCAACCACCAACTCCTATCAGTCATTTTAGTACTTTGATTTAAAAATCAAAGCTTAAAGAATTTTCACTTTCCCCCTATTTCCACAGCAACTATTGAAAATTGTTTTCTATGCTTTCATTCTAAAAAAAATTGAAATCACTTGACTGCAAACTTTTTAAAAATTTTGCATAAAATTGTCTGAAGGTAATATTGTCATATTGTTTGTAATGTTATTTGTCTGTTATATATATTTCACTGTTTGTTTGTATGAAGAATTGAAAATAAATAAATAAATAAAAAACTAT